GTGTGTGTGTGTGTGTGTGTGTGTGTGTGTCATTGTGTCTGTCATACTTGCAAATGGACAGATGGACAAGACACACAGACAGATAGATACGAATGGGGAACTAATTAAAGGGGCACTCCACCGATTTAAAACATCAAGCTAATTTTACTTGTCACAGCCTTCTGGAAACGGTTGTACAATGTATTCTGTGGCTCTAGAGGGACCTCCTTAAGGTCTAAAAACGAATCAACCCTGATGATGTCATTGCAATTATTATCATATATTATTCATCAGACAGGCAACACTGGGAGTTTGAAAAACAAGAAGGGTCTGTTTTCAGGGGAGAGATTTGCAGGAAACATGCAGGGAGAAAAAGGAGTATGACATGCAACAGAGGTATCAAACTAGGAACGTCAGGGCTGAGTAAAAGCGGAACTAAAAAACCTCATTCAAAATGTCTATGACATTTGCAACAACACTGATGACTAAAATATCAACTAGACCTATGACACATTATGTTGTCTGAATAGTTTCATGTATCTAAGAAAACTGTATTTTTTTAAAGATATTATAATATTTCAAAAATCTGTTTTAGGAATAGAAAATTAGAAAGCAGAGATTGCTGCTAAACAGTTGGAAAATGTGACGTTACAAGAGAGCTTTTGTCATAGGCCTATGGGCATATCCAATTCTCAGTGACACAAGTAATATTCTATGGCACAAACCTTTTCTAAATCATGAACTTGTTGTAGCTTATGCTGATTTTTCCTAGAAAATGGAAAGTAAACCACAAGAACATCATTTATTTTAGAAAAGACTTCCAGATCAAACAAAAACACACCTCAGAGCAGAAGTCCAAATTCCCATCCAGTATGTGTGTCACTGAGCTCTGCTCATACTGTACTTGCAAACGGACAGATGGACAGAGGAGGGAGATAGAGATTTTGAATGGGTGGAGAAGTACATGTGGCTCAGACCCATTAACAGTCTTAATTGATGCTGCTCTGCATGCTGTGGTGGGACAACGTAATGTGTGTGTGTGTGTGTGTGTGTGTGTGTGTGTGTGTGTGTGTGTGTGTGTGTGTGTGTGTGTGTGTGTGTGTGTGTGTGTGTGTGTTAGGGCTGCACGATTTTCGGGAAAAATCTAATTGCGATTTTTCTGACAAATATTGCGATTGCGATTCGAATTGCGATATTTGTTTTTAATCGACCCAACGGAAGTTTATTGTAAAATGCTGCCATAACTCCGGCTAGGAAGGTCGTATCAACGTACTCCCGTCTCTAGCACCCCCGCAGCCCGAGCTACGAGTGAAATAACTAAACTTACCATTTGGAAAAGGGCAGGCACTTTCAAAAATACTTGGCAGGTGATTGGATCAATCTGTCTATCACCTTCTATCATGGGCCACTTCTGATTGGTTAACAATGGCTGGTACATGTGGAGCACAGCACTTCTGATTGGTGTGGATGACTGACACACAAGAAGAAAAAATATTTGATAATCGCATCCTTTCAAATCGCGAGTGCGATTTAAAATCGATTAATCGTTCAGCCCTTGTGTGTGTGTGTGTGTGTGTGTGTGTGTGTGTGTGTGTGTGTGTGTGTGTGTGTGTGTGTGTGTGTGTGTGTGTGTGTGTGTGTGTGTGTGTGTGTGTGTGTGTGTGTTGATTCAGGGCTCCAGCAGGCCACACTCTGGTTATACACGTCTAAGTGAGCATGTACTGTATGAATGTCGTGTTTAAGATAGTTTTGTGGGCGGACAGGCACCAGACAGCCTGAGTCAAGAGTTTAGCTAAGGGGCTGACATATGTTTTTTAGGGGAAGGAGGGGGGAAACAGCATACTTCTATCCCATTTCATCCTCAATTGCTTGCACACATATTGAGGCTGACACCATCTCACACATACAGTATGCACCACACAGGCAAAGACACACAGCAAAAGCCAAGCCAAGTTACTCTCTAAACCTCAATAACACTGCAGTTTAGGGTCTTATTGCTAGTTTGGAGGACTGTGGATCGTTTGTAAGTGTTTCTATAACTAACGCTGATGGTGTTGTGGATTCAGTTTCATGTCCCAACAGTTCCTGTCCCAGAGATTTGTACTTATTTTTCCTATCCCTCTTGAGGTCACAGTGAACCCATCAGTGTCCAATTAAATCCCCGGAGGGATGGAAGACACCGAGAGGCTGATGAAGAGGAGAGGAGAAATGATGAGAAGGATCAGTTGAAAGAAGCGTCCTCGGGTTTCTCTATACAATATGTGCATAATGACTTCCACTGACAATTATCTTTGATCCAACACAAGCCCCCCCATACTCCTCCACCCTCTCCACATCCCAGCATCCATCCCCTCATCTCCCCGTCACTTTATCCTCCGCTCTACCCGTCGTCGATGCACCATCTTTTAATCTTTCCCTGCCTCTCTTGCGATTACGCCCGTCCTCTGTCGTTTCTTTTAACGTCTTTACTCAAAGTGACTTCAGGAATGACAAATATATTTACAATGTGTCTCGTCAACACACACTCATGTACACACACATTTAAAGACACCCCCCTCCCCTTTTATGTGAGTGGATACAGAGTGACTGGGTAATGAGGCTCACTCACTCGGGGTCAGCGACCTCACCAGCACTGAGATGAGGAGGGGAGAGGGTGACAAGAACAGAGGGGAAGCAGGAATACTAGCAAGATGGTGAGGGCTTTTTCAGTTTTTTTCATCATTTCTCTCTCTTTATTTGTCATCTTTCCTGTGTTCCCTGTCAGCAGCCAGAGTGCTGCATGGACGCAGGGGAGAGAAGGGGGAAGGAGCAGAGAGAGAAAATGTTTAAGTGCTGATGGCAGCCCCTGGTTGCTGCAGGGACCGGGGTGTCAGCTTTTAGTCTGCCACAGCATGCATCTGACAGGCAAATGATAGAGAAAGAGCGAGGCAGAAGGAGAGGAGAGGAGAGGAGAGGAGAGGAGAGGAGAGGAGAGGAGAGGAGAGGAGAGGAGAGGAGAGGAGAGGAGAGGAGAGGAGAGGAGAGGAGAGGAGAGGAGAGGAGAGGAGAGGAGCTTTTTTTATTCAGTAGTGTGGTTCATGTTCAAAAAGTATATCTGCTTTTCCTTGTGAAGAAAACATGTTATTCCTGGATTTGGATCAACGCTTTGGCAATACTGTATGTCACTATGGTCATGCCAATAAAGCTATTTGAATTGAATCAAGAAGAGGAAAGGAGAGAATGGTAGGGTCTTGTGTCTGTGATGATGTCGGTTTTAAACAAAGAACAAGAGCCCCCATAAGGACAAGGACGCATGTGGGATAGGTGAGGCTGGTATTTCATTGACCACCTCTCTTTTTCTCCCCCGTCACTGTGTGGTGATAGAT